TAGTCCAACATTGTGACAAATGTCATGTCTGATATTACGTAAATACCTTAAAGATCTATTTATTTATTTGTACAATATCATATTTACAAATTAATCATTTGTTTCTCTTTTCAACTTTTCTTTAATCTCCAATGGTGTGACATTTGCATTATAGTTGCTCATCTTGAACCTTGTCAAGATGTCTTGGGCATACTTCTTTTGATACAAGAACACTCTTTCACTTGTGTCTTTAAACTCTATCCTCAAGAAATATGAAAAATTCCGTAGATCAGATATTATAAATTTCTGCATTAGTTTCAACTTGACTCTTTGTATCTCTATCTCATCTACACATGTGATCAACAAATCATCCACGTAAAAGTATAAAATGATTCGACTGAATTTGTCTACATCATTGCATATACCCCATATTCTGAAATACACTTTGTGAAACCCACTTTAATTAGAAAGTTTTATATTCTTCTATTCCAAGTCCTTGAGACTTACTTCAAGCCATATAGAGCCTTCCTTAATCGGTACACCTTCTGTTCTTTTCCTTTGATTTCGAATCCTGGCGGTTGACTAACATATATCTATTCATCTAATAATTCATTCAAAAATGATGACTTTACATTTAATTGATGTATCTTCCATCCTTTATATGTTGCAGTTGACAGAACAATTCTGATTGTCTATAACCTTGCAATAGGTGCATAGACTTCACTGAAGTCAATCTCAGGCTTTTATAGTAAACCTCTCGCCACTAATCTTGTCTTATACTTGAAAATTTAACAACTTGACCTCAGTTTCATCTTGAACATCCATTTCACTTCGATTGGCTTTTTACTAGATCTTTTGACAAGTTCTCAGGTCTTGTTCTTCTCGATTGCCCTGAGTTATTCTTTCATAACTGCCAACCAAATCAAATTAGTCATGGCTTGACCCAAACTAATTGATTATGATTCAACCATCACTATTACTTCTTCTATGAGATCACCATCTGCATCAGTTGTTTGATCTAAAAATATTTTGTATCCAACTAGCCTTGTCGATTCAACTCTTGTTCTAGTTGATCTTCTAACATTATGCTTGAGTGGTTCTTCATTTTGAGTGGTTATGACTTCATTTTACTAGCTTGTTCAAAAATATTCAGCATTGTCTTTTGCATGTGTCGAACTGACTATTGAGTCCAATTCCACCACTTGTTTTCGTCCACCATAACATCGTTATTGATCACTAGTTTATCGTCATTTAGCAAATACAATTACATGCAACAATCAAATGATAACATATGAATACCATGACCGGACTTCGATCATCTTTCTTCTTCATTAATTATTCAGATACATACCTGAAACACATTGATCCAAATACTCTAAGATTACTTATATTTGGCTACATTCTTGTCTAAACCCTATAATATGTCATGTTGACTATCTTCTTGGTTGAACATCTATTGAATATATACATTATTGTCAAACTGCTTTTTCCTAAAATCTCTTTGGCATTTCTCTAGCTTTCAACATACTCCTGACCATGTTCAGTATACTTCTATTTTTCCTATCAGATATACCATTATGTTAAAGTGTATATAATACAATGATCTCATGATCTATAACTTCCTCGTTGCAATATCTTGCAAATTCCATAGAGGTGTATTCACCTCCGCCATCAGTTCTCAATTTCCTTAGCTTGCATTCGCTTTGTTTCTCGACATGCAACTTAAATTTCTTAAATTGTGTCAATATCCAACTCTTCCTTTTAATCAGATAAATCTACATATATCTTGTGAATTCGTCTACGAAGGTTAGAAAATAAAATTACCTTTATTCGATTTGACTTTAAAAGGTCCACACACATCAAAGTGAGCAAGCTCTAGCTTTTCCTTTGACCTCATGAACAAGTCATGCTTGAATATTTTTCTAGCCTCCTTTGCTTTGCAGCACTCCTCACACACCTGACTTGGTTCATTCACCCGAGGTAACCTATACGCCATCTTCTTTAGGTTGAGCATGCCTAATTTTTTAAAATTTATGTGTTCATACATGTGATACCACAACCAGCCTTTGTCTCTATTGACAGACTAATTTAGACATTGATGATCACCGTGTTGATCTCTACTTTAAAAGTTTTGTTATTTGTCAATGGTGATTTCAAAATTGTTATTTCTTTACCATCATACACCTTCATCTGATTCTCCTCTAACTTCATGTTGTACCCTTTTGCAAATAGTTGACATATATTTATCAAATTACTTGTCATCTAAGATATATAGAACACATCAGTGATATTTACTTTCCGACCATCCCCTCTAACCACATATATGTCTCTTTTTTCACCTGATGGGACGTGCTTGTAATTGACAAACTTTATTATTTTCTTAACTAATTCATCTAATTTGGTAAACTCATTTTTATTTCCAGTCATGTGATCACTGCATCCTAAATTCAAATACCACGTATTAGTTTGTTCATATCTCGACTGGATATCGGCTATGACTACCACATCATCAGAGTCATCTCCAGCATGTGCATACTACTTCATTATCTTTTGTCTTAGTTCCTTTTTTCTTCGACAATCTCAAACATAATGACCAAATCCTTGACAGTTGTAGCACTGCACCTCCTTCATGTCAACTTTCTCCTCTGCGTACTTATTGATCATGTCTTGGTGGATTCAGTGTAGAAACCAATTTGAATTGGAATGGTGCGGAAAATAGTTTATTTCATTCTTAACATGGAATTCGTCAAGGTGATCCAATTTCACCTTACTTATTTATGCTCTACATGGACAAGTTATCATATTTTATTAAACAAGAGTAATGCAAGAACTGGAAAGTTGTCAATCTAAGAAAGCAAGGTGCAATGATCTCACACCTAATATTTGCAGATGATTTGTTACTTTTTAAGAAAGCCACTGAAAAATAAATGAAATGTGTCATGAATACTCTAAATCTTTTTTGTAGTATGTCCAGTCAGGAAGTGAGCCATGATAAAACAAGTATATTATTCTCAAAGAATGTTATGTTTCAAGAAGCATGCAAATGAAATATCGCAGCTATCTCATTTCAGGGTTACTAGCAGTTTTGGGAAGTATCTAGGGGTTCCTTTAAATGGTAGAAAGCTTAAAAGGAATTACTTTTAATATATAGTAAACCAAATTGCTTTGAAATTAACGAGTTAGAAGAAGAATAACTCATCTTTTGCGAGAAGAGTAACATTAGCAAAAACTGTTATTGAAGTCATTCCTTTATTCCCGATGATGACATATAGATTATCTGAGTCATATATAGATGACATACTTGGTTTGCGGAGGAAGTTTATAAAGGGAGATTTAAATGAGCAAAGAAGATACATGCGGTAGGATGAGACTCTCTAACAAGACCTAAAGCTTTGGATGGCATTGGTCTAAAAAATTTGGAGGATTCAAACACAATGTATCTTATGAAATTAGGATGGAAAATTATTACCAACTCAAAAGATGTTTTGTGCAATACTTTGAGAAGTAAATACAGGAAAAATGAGAATGATGAGCTCACAAAATATAGAGGTTCATATTTTAGTTTATGGAAGGATATTATCAAGAATATTCCAAAACTGTTAGAATCAGGAAGTCGGAGTGTAGGTGACGCAAGAAACATTAACTCATGGGAAGACAATTGGTTGGGAAAAAGTTTTGTTTGGACAATCTTGAGATCAGTATCCCATAAGAACTTGGAGCCAAGGTGTGTGATCTGGTGGATCATCAAAGGGAATGGAGATGGAGTCAATTACAGAGCTGAATGCCTCAGAACATGCTCGATAAGCTTAAGTCATTTTCGATGAATGAGTTGTTTAGCAGTGTAACTAGATACGAGAATGAATTGGTAGAAGAGCGGAAGATGATTTGGAGAATTACAGACTTCTCATCAACCTTGGCAAAAGCAACGAGGGGTTAGGCCATGCAGATTGTAATATGTGTGGTAATGTCTGTGAAACAACTATGCATGCTTCAGTGAAACTCCAGATTTTATGAAGTCTTTCTTGGATATTAATAGAGTAGGCGTTGAATCCTCTAGGGAGGTGATTTTGTAATCTTTTCTTTGCTGAACCTAGGCCCTCTTTATTACAAAAAAAAAAAAGTACACACCACAATTCTTCTATTTTTTCATTCAATTTTTCTTTTTTTTCAAACTCCATGAAAACTATTCAATTTTTCTATTTTTTTCAAACTCTCTAAGAAAACTATAGCAGATAAAAACCCTACACAAATGTGTCTAATTAAAAATAAAATTAAACTAGATGAATGGGAGGACTCAAAGGCACCAAGAATCAAAGCAATATGTATAATAACGACAGTAGAAAATTTTGAAGTGTGTTTAGATAGTTCATAAGTTAAAATAAGTGTTGGGTTTGTGACCACCAAGAACATTTGTTAGACCAGTGTTTGAAACTTAAAATCTAAATATATTTGTTAGATTCTCTCATTAAATCACAAAAATTTAAAAGGCAGCGAAGTTGTAAAAAGTTTCATTTAGTTGGAAAAAAGGTCAGGCATAAAATTTAAGGTTCTGAAGAGCAACCTAATCCAATAATTGAAGCTCAATATACCTGCTTCGTCTGAAATTCAACCTACCCCTTCAATCCCAATAGCAAGAATTCAATCTTAGAAAATGAGAAATGAAATTGCATTTTATGAACAGCAAACGTTGGAAAGAAATTGCATTATGTTGCATTCAATTAAGCAAACTAAAGTAAAAAAAGAAAACACAAGAGTATTGCTTCTACTTGTGAAACAAGTGAAATCAAAAATATGCTTTCAATTTAAGTAAAATTTCATAAGAATGTTTGGGCTTTCAACAGCCAATGTCTTAAAATTATAGTCCAGCCAATCTTTGTGAATCTAAAGAAGCAATGCAAAAGGAACAAAATAGCACTGCAAACTAATCAAGTCTGCTTTATTTTTGCCAAGAGAAGTGGTTTGCACCACACAATCAAATGTGCGAAAATTAAAACTCCATGTTTGAAAATCATATGAAAATTCTATTCTGATGAAGTGGCCTGCTTCAGATACGCAATAAGATCAGCACGATCCTGAGGCTTCTTAAGACCAGGAAACACCATCTTTGTCCCTGGGATGTACTGCACAAGAATAAAAGAATAAGTAAACCAGTGACATACTTGGTTGAATAACACTTTCAAGGTAAACCTATCAATATTATATAGCCATAAAAAATGAACAGCAAAACAGCTTATTCACAGTAGAAAACTCTAAATCCTGAAATGATGATACTGTAAAACCAAAAAGAAACACCAAAACACTGATCAATATGTTGTACCTTCTTGGGGTTAAGCAAGTAATCATACAGGGTCTTCTCATCCCAGTTTACAGCCTTGTTCTTGTTAGCCGCGGAATAGGAATATCCAGAAGTTGTCCCAGATTGTCTTCCAAACAAACCATTCAGATTGGGTCCTAAGGTTGGTAACAAATAAAGCAACCAATTTTGTTAGAATTTTATTACATAATACATTATTCAGTGCTGCTTAGATTACATATTACATTACTAGCTGCAGCATAATGAAAAAGGCACTCTTAAGAAATCGCATGTTAACAAAAAAAAATCAAACAAATCATAAATGATAAACTCTTACAATATGTGAGGGTTGAGCCTAATTCACTCTACAAAACCGGCTTATAAGAAATAGATTGTCCCCACTTATAAACACATCCCATATTTGAACTAAACATTCAACATACCAAAACAAAGAATAAACCACTAATTTAATCCGCAAACTGAATTGATTTAGATTTATCCTCAAAAATTGATTCTAGATTCTAAAATTTGGGGCATGTGGCCTTTAATTTATTCTCCAGCTCAGTTTTGTTAGAATATATCCAATCATAAAGAATAATAGATTCAACTCATATTCATAGAATCCAATGAAATGAATTGAATAAAATCAAATTTTACAACCGCGGGAACCAAACACATGAAGAAAAAAAATACAGCTAGCATGATCTGCAACAACAATCCAAGCACACCAATCATAAACAACAACAACAACAACAAAATCTTCATAGCGATTACAGAAGTAAGAATATCAAATAAAATTTACAAAAAACACGAAAAAGAAGCAGAGAATGTTCAGATCTGAGAGTATGTTTAAGCAGAAAAAATATTAATTATATATAAACCTTGTTTGTGGCCGGCGCCTTTGTCGACGGTGTGGCACTGAGCGCACTTAGTTCTGAAGATCTTGTCGCCGGCGGTGGGGTTTCCGGGAGGAGCTTCATCGAAGGAGGCCATCGGAGAAAGCTGTGGGAACAAACAAGCGGCGTGTGGCGAAAGAATAGAATTGAAAAGTGAATGAGAATATGCTATGTGGACTTTGGAGGACCCGAAACTTATTGAAAACCAACACCGCCTTTCTAGACCACCCAAATCACTTTTACATTATTTACTTATTATATTTATTTTATTTTATTATTATATAGGTGGATTGAGAAAATTTGATTCTTTTCTATTTTATTTAGAAAAATATTTTGTATCTTTTTTTAGTTTATTTTTTGTTTATGAGATTTTTTCATCTCTTTTTTAGTATTTAAATTTCTTATCATTTGGATTAATTTAATCTTATATTTTTTATTTAAAATTATTTTTTAAATTATAATTAAAATACATTTTCATTTAAATATTAAAATCAATATTTTTTTAAATAATTTTAGACAAATTTAAAATTAATCAAGATATCCGATTTTTATATAAAAAATTAATTTATTGATATAAATTTTGTAGTTAATACTAATTTTTTTTTCTAAAATATTTACAAAAATAATGAAATTAGTTTAGTATTCATGAAGCTTAAGGAAATTCACTAAAAAAAAATCTTGACGATATAATGATGGTAATATTTTTTTATTTTTTTCTTAAATCAAAAAATAAATATCAATATTTTTAGAATATTTTAGATAATTAAAATATTATAAATAATTTTTTAACAATCTAAAAAATTGTATAAATATATATTTTAATGATATTATATTTTTCTAGAACATTCATTCATGATACCTTGTGAAATTGGATAATATTTGTTTAGGATTGAGTCTGTGGTTAGTCTATTGTCGGATACGGTCCAACTCACTTCTGTGTTAAGGACGACTTAAATAATGATTTAATTTATTGGGGTCCAATCTAAAGATATATTCTCCACGTGCCCCTCATCTGGGGACACATCATTAACTAATCACTCATATTCTGTGAGTGACATAACCGTCTTGTCCTGCGTAATGAATAAGTCCGTCGACAACCCGAGAATGGCGGGACAGTTGACCAAGGCGATGGACACATGATGTGCATCCCTACTTCTACGTAGAAATCCTGACAGTAATCTATTATGGGTTTGGACCCTCTGTCCATAATGGAGACCATTGATCATGCGCTGAAGACTTTATAGATACCCTTCTCTATTGAAGGATCAAGTATTTTATTCTATTCTCAACTCATTCTCTTATCTCTTCACTCTTTTGACTTTAGCATCAGAGTGTCTGCAGATACCTCTCCTCTGTTGAAATGGTTTCCATAAGATCAGTATACATGAATCTTGAAAAAGTATTAATAATAAAATATTTTTATTTGCTTTGCTAACAAAATTAAATAAATATTTTTCTAATAATTTTTTATTTTTAAGTATATCTTTTAATTATCTAATAATAATTAGTAAAATTTTACTGACACATAATCGTTAGTCTGTAAGAGGAACTCTTAATCGTAAGACTGTAGGAGGAACTCTGACGACATTCAATCTATAAATGTCACTTATATAAAATATTTTTAATTATTTAATATTTTATTAATTATATATTTTTTATTATAATATATAAAGTGATAAATATTCTTTTGACTTAAGTAGAAGACTAAATTAAAATTTAAGAATCCAAGTTTAAAAAAAAAAAGAGAGAGAGAATTTTGAGAGTGAATGTGAAAAAACAAATAGTTAAACAAAAACTACATATTTAAGAAATTAATTTTATATAGAATAATTATAAAATTCTAATTAAACTGAAATAGTGTTTTTGTCTCTGTAAATTAGTGAGATTTTAAATTTGATTCCTGAATCTTTTTTTTGTGCAAGTTTTCATATGTTTATTTTTAGTTGGCGTTAGTCTCTACTGTCTATATTCCGTTTAAAAAAAGCTTATGTGACAGACGGTGATGAGTTGTCATTTAGTTTTTCATTTTTTTATATTGTTTTCATCAACACACGTTGATAATTTATTTTTCCCCTAAAAAAAGACCATCAAAAGTCATTTCACATTTTAAACTCTAATCCTTGTAAATTAAGGTTTCAGAAAAGGAAAGGTTAGAGCTCAATGAAGATGCTTGCAACGAAGAGAGCTTTGTGTGAGGCGATCGAGGTAGACGAAGCTAAATTCGTGATCGAGCAAGGTAATCGATAGCTCCAGGTATGATATTTACTTTGAACATTTATTATGGTGGAAAGTTTGTTGGGGACAATGTCGTATACTACCTAGGTGGAGATGAACATATAATATACATTGACCATGATAGGTAGATTTTCTTTGAAGCAATTGGTATAGTGCAGGAACTTTGCAATCTTGAGTACTCAGATTATTGATTATAGTGGTATAACATTATTGCGGGCAATCATAAAATAATGGTTAGTGATATTGATGCTATTGAGGTTTATGAATAGACTGTTGAATCGAGTTGTAGTGTGGACTTATATGTCGAGCATATATTAGTTTATGATAATGCTGATAATGTTAATGATGTTGATGCTGCTAATGTTGATGATTTTGATGCTGCTAATGTTGTTGATAATGTTGCTAGTGTTAATGTTGATGATGTTGCTGCTAATGGCAATGTTGATGATGAGGTTTCAAATGTTAATATTGATGATAACCTTAATATTGTTGAAGAAGGTAAACACAGTGGTAGTGATGACAGTGATTTTAAAGGTAATGATTTATCATTTAAGGACAGTGAGGATGATATGGATATTGGTTTGGATGATAGATTTAATCTAGTAGAAAAACCATCTGGTGGCAAAAGGCTTAAGCATATAGCTAGGAAACACAAGACTACTCCATCAAAGATAATAAATGTTGATGACAATGGTGGTTCATTCAGTGGTGTTAGTGTTGATAATGAAGATATGGAAACTAATTATGTAAGTGATGATCTTGGGAGTAGTGATCCTGATGCATCAGATGAAGAGAAAGGATCAAATCCTAGGTTTAAGATGAAGGAGTTGGACAAGAACTACAAGTTCAAAGTGGGTTTGGAGTTTGTATCTCTAGATGAATTTAAGGATGCAATTATTGAATGGTCAGTATTAAATGGTAGAGAGATAAAGTATGTGAAAAATGACAAGGTTATGGTGAGGGTAGTTTTCAAAGGCAAATGTGGGTCTTTGGCTCTTGTTAGTAAAGTTGGGAATAAGCACACGTATAGAACAAAGAGATGGGTTGGTGCTCACACGTGTGGTAGGTTTTGAATAATACTTCTGCTAATTACAAGTGGATTGCTAAGATTGTGGCGGCTAGGATGACATCATCTGATGGAATCAAGACTCGTGATATTGTTTCTGAGGTTAAGAGTACTTACTATGTAGTTATAACTATGAGTAGGGCGTGGAAGGCTAAGAAAATTGCAAAAGCTCTGGTTTTAGGTGATGCAACAAAGTAATATACTCTATTATGGAGGTATTATGCAGAATTAAGAAGAGTAAATGCAGGGAACACTTGCAAAATTAATGTGATGAGATTTGGTTCCAATTTTAGTGGCTATGGATAAACCAATCTTACTCATGTGTGAATGGATAAGAAACCACATCGTGACTAGGAATGCTAGCTTAAGAGAAAAAGTTGATAGGTGGCAACATAGGATAATGCCAAGACCTAGAATTAGATTAGATAAAGAAGTAGAATATGATGGTAATTGGATTCCAAATTGGTCTGGTGATACAATATGGCAAGTTAAACATGTTCATACTAGACATAGTTTCATAGTGGACACTTCTAAAAGAACATGCACTTGTAATTTCTAGGAGTTGGTAGGAATACCATGTAGATATGCAGTAGTTGCATTAGGCTTTAGGAACCAATTCCCAAAAGACTACGTGGATGACTACTATTTAAAGGAAACATATGTGGCTTGTTATGATTTCAATTTTAGCCCAATTAATGGGCAAGATATGTGGCCTGAGGTTAAAATTGAAGAGACGTTGCCTCTATCATACAAAAGATGTCCTGGAAGACCAAAGAAACTGAGGAGGAGGGAATATGATGAATACCCTAACAAGGTAAGGACACAAACAACCTATTCTTGTACCGATTATGGTGTACATGGCCATAATGCAAAAAGTTGTAAAATTCTGGTGTTTGACCCTAAAGCTCAAAAAAGAAATGTATTCACTTATTGTACAATTCTTGTTAATACCAATTTATGTGTCATATTAATTGCATCATTCTATGTGCAGAGAAAATCAAAGAAGAATGCAACAACATATGCATCTGGAGAACAACAACCTCAACCTGAAGCTATATCTGGACAACAACAACAACAACAATCTCAACCTGAAGCTGTATAAGAACAACAACAACAACAAACTCAACCTGGAGCTTCAACTAAACAACAACAATAACCTCAACCTGAAGCTTCAATTGAACAACAACAACCTCAAAGTCAATGTGATGTGGATCAAGAATTTGAAATGCTTGCAATAGATCTTTGTGCAGCATTTGAGGTAACAGAACCTCAACACAATGTCAATGATGTTACTTCTCAAGTTGTAGTTTTTCCTAATGATGCTAATGAGCATATTTCAACTATGGAAATTACACCTCAAGTAGCTTCATAAGACACTGGTATTGGTGACTCACAAACTAACTACATTTTGTATACACTTGTTCAAGATGTTGACCTTACACCTCAGGAAGTTATCTCTACACCTCCACCTCATGAAGTTGTCTCTGCACCTCCAAGAATTCCTAAACCAGTTGAGGTTGGTATACTTATTCATTTTATGTGTTTGTTATTGGGTTTACTGCATGTTTCCTAATGCTTATGTGTGTGATGATGTTTTGGTAGATAAAGCAACCCAAACAAAAGGTAGCAAGGAAGTTAGAGTTAAGGATAAGTGAAATAACTAGGGTGTTAAAGTTTAAAAAGCTCAAGGGAGAAGGAAGTCACCCAACACAACCATGGAAATTGTAGACATTAGTGTTTTAGATTATGTAATGATGTTATGTTGAACAAAATGGATACATCATGTATCTCTCTTA